TGTGACGTCATTGGTTTTAATCCCCCGCCCCTAGAAAAATAGGGCCGTTCCCTTAAGGGAAATCGCGCTCGTGGGTTTTTTTTTTAAATTCTCTTCGGTGATATTTGTTCTATGCTGATAAATAGCCTATAGCAAGGCAAGTACAATTGACTGACCCCGATTTTAGCCATTCAGAAAAGGGCATGTAGGATATGGGTGGGGAAACTGTTTTGAGAGATTGCGGGGGAAGGGCAAAACAGCCATGAATCTTTGAAGGAAGATGGTTTAACTGACAGGTCACGTCATCAAATCACGGGTCCACCATTCAGTCAATCGCGACCTGAATGACACCTTCTGTGGCCTATCCGCTTTCGAGTCCCTCCTTCTATATCTCCGCCTCTACCGCCGGATCCCAGCTTTATCCCCGCCTCTCTTTCTCCGGTTCCTCCTCGTCGTCTTCGACCTTACCTTTCCAGCCTGAACGGGCGATGATTGGTTGACCGGTTGACTGACTGCCGGATCTATCCAGTCAGTGACTGCTAGTGGGATTAATCCCCCCTCCCGCCGAAGGGGCGTGTCTGCTAAAGGGGTGGGCTGCAGACAGATCTCGGCTGCGCGGCGCGGAGGTAGAGGGTGGCGGGGACGCCATTTTGTGAAGAGTCCGGAGCGTGGAAGAGGAGACCGTAGCCCTGAAAGGGAAAATTAAAAAAATAGTTATAAGAAAAGGGTCGCGGTACCGGAGCTGGGGGCCTCCCGGTGAGTTCGTTGAGGTAGTGAGGGAAACAGTGGCGGCGCTTCTTGCATTTCCCGCTCTGGGGGCAATAATGGTATCGCCCTCTCTCTCTTCCCCCCCCTCCCTTTCCTCACCAGGTTGGTATTTCCCTGGTCGGCTTTCTCGAACCTTTCCATTCCCCGGCTCCCCCCCGCGTAGTGCATATGGTCCGTCCCGAGCCGTTTGTTTCGTGTTCCCTGTGGGAGAGGCTATGATTTTTGGTTTCCGTGGGGGGGGGGGTAGGGCCCGGGGGGGGGGGGGGAGGACGAGAGCGCGGCGGCCTGAATAATGTCCTCCTGCCGCGCTCTCCTGGGAAAGGAAGAGAGCCATCTATGCGCAGCAACACGTGAGGCTTCTGGCTTTAAGAGGAGCTCTTCGGGGGGGGGGGGGAGATTGCTTTAGCGCAGCAGTTTCTACGGTTTTGGGGTGGTGGTGTTTTTTGTTTGTTTTTTTGTAATCCGGGATTCCTCTAACCCGGATTAGCTGTTTAATTTAAAACGCTCCTTTCTCTGGGAGGATCTTTCTCCAGGAAGGAAAAGGGTGGTGGTGGTTGGGGGACCTGATTCCCTATCGATGTATCCTGTTGATGCCACAATTTAAAGCCCGTGTCAGGCTTCCCCGGGAGTGGGGAGGTTGGATTTTGCACGGATCTGTGACTCAACCCGTGCAAAAGCAGCTACGCATGCTTGGTTTGCACGCCAGAGGCTCGTAGCCCCTTGCGGAGACGGCTCGGCGTGCAAAAGGAAGCATGCGTGGCTGCTTTGCTCTTGAAATCGGCCGGGCCCCCCCCCCCCCCCCCCCCAAGTCAAACAGCGATGGCTGGTCGGCCTCGGCCTAGATTGACAGGGATGGAGGAGGGGGGGATTAGAAGCATCAGATGGCTTTCGAGAGGGATCCCCTGCTTTACGCAACATCCCTTGCAACGCTTCTGTAAAGTAGGCCAGAATTGCGCCCTGTTGCAGAGAGCGAATTGCCCAGGACTGCTGAGCGAGAGATGCAGAGCTAAGGCTGGAGGCCTTCTCTTAGCCTCAGCGTTGCACCGGCTCTAGTACTGGGTCGTGGCTTTACCCACATGCAAGTTTCAACACTTGATGAGTCCTGTACCCAAGTGGGGGAGTTCTAGAACTAAAAGCTTTTCTGTGCACCATCGCCTCTTTCTGCCGGCCAAAGGTGGCTTAGCACAGAGTAGAAATCCTGGTGGATTTTGCATTTTTAAAGAAACTATAGCTGAGAGTGGAGTGCCATAGTGCTGCTGGAGGATTTTTTTTTTTTGGGGGGGGGGGAGGCCAGTGTTCCCTCTAAGCTGAGTTAGTGTGAGCTAGCTCAGAGTTTTTTAGCTTCCAGCTCACACTTGTTTGTCTGAGCTCAGGAAGGTTGACTCCAGAGAGAACTGATCTATGCAGCAGCCGAATCGCTTGCTCACAACTTTCATGCTGGTCGCTCACAAAGTAGAATTTTTGCTCACAAGACTCCACAGCTTAGAGGGAACATTGGGGGAGGCCACGATAAGTTTCTGTATTGCATTTTGCTCCTGTGGTGCTTGGAGCTGTTGGTACGCGGGGACTGAGAATCATGTTTTGGGCTTATAAATAGTTTACGTGGTAGTGGTGGGTGGGCGGCTTGGAGCCGGGGCAGCATTTGCATCTTGTTGGCATCACCTTTTTGAGGTTGGCCCTGTGTTGCTCTCCGACCCTCAGTGGAAAACGCCAAGCCCTTGTGAGGGCAAAGCTACGTGCTGTGGCGTCTTACCGTGTTTTGGCTCTCGGGGCAGTGCAGCTGCGTTTGTGGGGGTGCGCCATGCCGGTGCAGGGCAGATAGAAACAAGAGGAGGCAGAGGGTGGGGGTGGCAGAGCCTGTCGACAGGACGAGGCATGACCCTTGACGCCAAAGGAAAATGCAAAGATTAAAGGCTTTGGATATTTGATAGCTTATAGCAGCGGCTACCCCTAATAGAGCACCTGTGGCATTGGACTGTAAGTAAATACTGTATTCGGAAACCCAGAAGAATAGTCTGGTTGATAGCCTAGAAAAGAGGCAAGATGGAAAGCCAATCTGTTACCCACGCAAGCTTTGGCCTGCATCACCTGTTCCCCACAACCATCTGTATCTCTGCTAGGCTGTAGCCTTGCCTGATCTGTCGTTGGTACTCTCACCTCTGGGTCCTATTGGGTGCTATTAGTCTTTGCTTTAATTAGGCCCACTTAGAGTCCTGGATCTACTGTGTACTTGTGGGCTGTCTTTTCCCTGCACAGCTGGCCCCAGATAACTCTTGCGGTTGCTCGGAAGTGCATGTGCTAATAAAACCCTAATTAGAATTTACCAAAAAAAAAAGGCCCTTTTGAAAATTGCAGGCTTGCATGCTGTTCTAAAAACAGGCCGTTCCAATCCCAGTGGCATCCTGTTCCAAAGAAACTAGAAAGATGACTGCAAGCGCCCTAGAATGGAGTGCTACAGAGAGGTACAGTCTGTAGGGAACGTAATTGGCGTGTGGGCCAATTTCCAGTAAAGAGAGAACGTAGGTCAGGTATAGCCATACTGTTCTGCTAAAACATCTATAATAAGCAGCGTGTTTAATCACATTATTAGGACTCGTGGAAAGGCATGTTGCTGTATATAGGGGCGTGTTAGTCGGTTAGGAACAGAGAGCCAGAGAGAGAAGGTGACTATTTTAGGGGGATCGCAGATTGCCTGCCTTTTCGTTACGTGTTGGGGGCAGCATCAGTCAGTCAAGCTCTGGAACAGCTAGGGAATTAGTGTTCTAGTTGACTCCTCGAGTAAGCAGTCCCTTGGCAGTGGGATTAGTTGCCGTGGTGTTCGTGGCCTTTAAAACATTGAGTCGAAGGGGGGGGGGGGGGGAGAGAAAGCAGAGGGGTGTGATGTAATCCTGCACTTCTGGGTCCCGTCTTGCAACTAACGAACACTTGCCATTCAGAACCGTGCTAAATGGATGTAAAAAAATCCCCAAGGGAAGTATTCTGCTAGAACGCCTTGGTGCTTGTCAAGCCATAACAGAGGCTCTGCGGGCAGCTGCCCCACCTCTTTAGAACACTGGGGGGGGGGGTTATGCGGGTCTCCTCTCCATCTTTGCTTCAGGCTATGTGTGTGCAAGCTTCAACACAGCCCTCCTGCTGCAGGGCTCTCAGGTGGCCCCCAACGATGGATTCACTTCCTTGGCAACCAGCGGAAGTGGGCGGCCAGCCGGGCGGAATGCGAACCCGCCCCGCCCGCCCGGAGGCAGCTGGGAACTTGGAGGGGAAGCCCCCTGGGAAGCAGACGGCGGCCAGCCGGGGCGGGGGAAACATGGGGAGAAATGGGGCAAACGTATCCAGGGTACCCTGACTCAACCTGTCCCCTTCTCCTTTCACAGGGCAGCAAGGCGAAAACCCCCAACCCTTCCTTCACTGGAGCTCAGCTTCCTGGTTTTTTTAAAAAATAACCCCCCACCCGCCCCAACGCACGCACGCCCCTCTCCCCCCCCATGTCTTAGAGCCAGCCGTTTGTACTAAAAACGGAGCGCCTTCCTGGCTACCCAGCATTGCCTTGCAGCCAAGCCCATTTGGATTGGATTGGATTTGAAAGAATGCTAATTTTGGAAAAAAAATCACCTTTTTTTTCCCTGCAGCAGCTGGGTTAGAGGAGGAGGAGGAACCTTTTAGCCTCTCGTGAGCTCAAGTCTCTCAGGCATTTTTAGAGTGAAAATGGTGTTCCAAGGGCTTGGATTGTTTCCTGCCGGGAGCTCTTCCCTGCCTGGTTCTGCAGTAACTGGCTGGAACAAGAGCACGGAAAGGGGGAGAACAGAACAGAGAGAGAGAGAAAAAATTGCATTTGCTGACTTTGACCTTTTGACGCCTCCCGTTTTTCTAATCTGGGCTATTTTTATTTTTGTTTTTTTACAGTGAGATTTTTTTGATCTTCAGCTACAGTAAGTTATTCCAATTTTTTTTCCATATTTTTTTCCCTGCCTTTCCAACTGATTTCCTTTTTATCGTTGTTGCTAGTTACTTATTGATATTATTGCTACTATGATGGTGGTGAGACTGTGACATTGATGATGTGTTGCTGATGGTGGTGATTTAAAAAAAAAATGACTGCTGATTTTTAACCGGATGAAAATGGAGTTTTTCTGAGTGGTCCTGGCTGCACTTTGGGTTTTTAACCCCTTGGGGGGGAGAAACGCAACGAGGTTTTTAAAAACCCATTTTTTATTATTATTATTAAAAAAAGTGGATTGATCGCGTTAACTCTTTTTTTCCCTCCCTCCCTGATCACCTGGCTGCTGAGAAGGGAACCTGATTTCTCCAGAGCTTGTTTGAAACGTCTCAGGAAGTTCCTACACTTTTTTTTTATTTTTTTTATTTTTCATTTTTAACATTTTATTTCTGTGCCAATTTTTCAACTGTTGCTGCAATGTGTCTGTGGTGCTGATCGCTCCCTAGCAGTGACAGCCCTCCGCCCCCCCCACTCAGCCCCCCTTCTCCCGTGCCCCCCCCTCCAGTTCCCATCCTGGTCTTTTCCTCCACCACCACCCTTCCCTTCCAAACGCCGTCATGGACGCCCAGTCTGGAGTAGCAGTGGCGGCTGCCAGCGGAGCCTCACACGGAGCAGACACAAACCCGCCTGGGTTGATGGTAAGGGGAGTTGGTTTCATTCCAGGCTTCGGCAGCTGTCCCCGTTAAGGCCTTAGGGGAAGGGATGCACAGCTCCTCCTCTGGCCCGATGAGAGGATGGATGCGTACTTGGCTGGGTTGGACCGTCCGAACCCCATAAGTCAAAAAGGAGGCTCAGCGGCCCTTCAAAGTGGGTAGTTGCACAGGTCATTGAGAGTAACGGGGAGGTGGTCTTTGGCTCTAGGGCAGGGATCCTCAACATGGTGCCCATGGGCAGCGCTCCCTCTAAGCTGTGGAGTCCTCTGAGCAAAAATTCTACTTTGTGAGCTGCTGACATTATAGTTGTTCGGGAGCGATCTGCCCACGGCATGAATTGGTTTGCTCTGGAGCCCTCCTTCCTGAGCTAAGGCAAAAATGTGTGAGCCGGAGGCTAAGAAACTGAGCCAGCTCACACTCGGCTTAGAGGGAACACTGCCCATGGGCGCCGTGGTGCCCGCCAAAAGCTTTCCTGGCGCCCATCAAGTGTTTTCAGAGAATGGGTGGGGCCGGTGGGACCACCTGCCCAGGAGGACTTCTGGCTGGCCCCTGGAGATTAAAACAGCATTGTTTCAGCCGCAGCGGCCGCCACAGTGTCAATCTCCCTCTCTTCCACTCCTGTTTCCCAATGCAGTTTTAAAAACTATCCCTCTTCTCCCCTGCACGTGGGCTTCCTCTCTGTGGCTCTGCCCCCTGGGGCAGCCGCCGTCCTTTGTCAGAGTTCCCAAGCTGCCCATAGGCCCAAAAAGGTTGGGGACCCCCCCTAGGGGACTCTGGATTTATACCCATGGCTCTGTGGCAGAGTCTCTCAGGGTCTACTTGTAAAAAGACACCTTGCAGTCTTGCGGTCAATGTTCCCTCTAAGCTGTGGAGTCTTGTGAGCAAAAATTCTACTCTGTGAGCTACTGGCATTAAAGTGGTGAGCGAGCGATTTGGCTGCTGCATAAATTAGTTTGCTCTGGAGCCATCCTTCCTGAGCTAAGGCAAAAATGTGCAAGCCGGAGGCTAGAGAACCGTGAGCTAGCTCACACTAACTCAGTTTAGAGGGAAGATTGCTTGCGGTGTGTGTTAAATTTATAGTACCAAAGTGCACGATTGACATCCAGGTCACAGTTACTCCACGTTAGGCTGTGATGAGCGTGCAGTCTTTTGGAGGCAGTGGTTCTCGAGTGATTTGAAGCCGCATCCCCTGTCTGTGCTTGCTGTCCTTTTTTCGACCTGCTTCCCCCCCACCCCAGCACGAAACGTCAGGACACCAGCTTTTAAACAAATGAGTATTCTTTCCGCGTTCAGTATTTATAAACACGTAGCGTTACTGAGCTGCAGCAGGCGGTGTTTCTTGGCCACGGTGTCCTTTACCCGAAGGCCCAGCCCACCTTGTCTCTCTGCTTACCTCAGCCCTCCTGGCCATGCCACTCTCCTGCAAGAGTCCCAGCCCACCGTTTGAGAACCGTCGGCCAATGGACAGAAGTGCCTGGCCGGGTCGGATGAGAGTCTACCCAGCTTGGCATTGTTTGCAAGACTCCCAGGAAGCACAAGAGATCCCATTAGAAATTGGCCCGTTTCCGCGGGGTATTCTCTGGTGAACCTTCCGCCCACTCCTGCTTACTATGGAAGAAGCATCTTTGGAACGCCTGAATGATATTCCCAAGTCAGAGACTCCTGCTTCCTCCTGACTACTTCTCTGGAGACAGAAGGGGCACTGCGACATGCTAGAAGCTCGGCAAAAAATGGGACCACCTTTGGCATCAAGCCTCTCCGCAGAGTGATTTTTAACATCTTTGGAGTAAGAGGCCTCTTGGTTGGATACGTGTACAAGTTTGGTCCCCCCCCCCCCCCCCCCGCCATCCATGCTGCAAAGATGTTCTTGTCTACTTTTTTTTGTACATGGAGATGGTTTTCGTGGAAGAAGAAGAAGAGATTGGATTTACACCCCGGCCCTTCACTTGGAGTCTCAGTGGCTTACAAACTTTTATTTAACACCAAAAAGAAGAAGAAGAGATTGGATTTATACCCCGCCCTTCACTTGGAGTCTCAGAGCGGCTTACAAACTCCTTTCCCTTCCCCTCCCCACAACAGACACCCTGTGAGGTGGGTGGGGCTGAGAGAACTCTGACACAAACTGCTCTTTTTCAAGGACAGCTGTGCCAGAGCTTGTGACTGACCCAAGGTCACATCAGCAGGTGCAAGTGGAGGAGTGGGGAATCAAACCCGGTTCTCCCAGATTAGAGTCCGCACACTTAACCACTACACCAAACTGGCTCTCAAAAGGAGGAAATCCTGCAGAGAATGTAAAAACGACAGGTTCTCGGCACCGAAAGGCCTACAATCTGAAATGGATGGTTCACATCTGGGGTCCCCAACCATTTAAGCCCGCTGACGTAGGGTTTCCAGCTCCGGGTTGAGAAATACTTGGATTTTGAGGGTGGAGGTTGGGATTTAGGGAGAGGAGGGACTTCAATGGGATATAGTAGTAGAAGAAGAAGAAGAGATTTATACCCCGCCCTTCACTACCCAAAGGTGTCTCAGAGCGGCTGACAAACTCCTCCCCCTCCCCACAACAGACACCCCTGTGGGGCAGGTGGGGCTGAGAGAGCTCTTGGCAGAAACGGCTCTTTTTTCAAGGACAGCTCTTATCAGAACTACCGGCTTGGCCAAGGTCATCCAGCCAGGTGCAAGTGGAGGAGTGGGGAATCAAACCCGGTTCTCCCAGATTAGAGTCCGCACACTTAACCACTACACCAAACTGGAAGAAGATTGAGGACAAACATGTTCTTTGGGCTGTGAACAACAGTTCTCCCCACTATCAAGACTGCAGTCTGCTGTGCAGAGAAGAGATTGGGTTTAAACCCCCTGCCCTTCACTACCCAAAGGAGTCTCGGAGCAGCTTACAATCCCTTTCCCTCCCCACAACAGGACACCCTGTGAGGGAGGTGGGGCTGAGAGAGCTCTTCCCGAGAACTGCTCTTGAGAGAACAGCTCTGAGAGAACTTATGACTGACCCAAGGTCACACCAGCTGCCGCATGTGGCGGAGTGGGGAATCAAACCCGGTTCCTCCCAACCACTACACCAAACTGCGCAGCTGGATGTCCTTGCTGCCACAGTTGCACAAAAACCCTCCTGCCCTGAATCCCCATTTCATCAGTCCAGTCCTTGCCACAGCTCGCCCTGCGCAAAATCTCACACACGCTTGTTAAGTTTCTGATCAGAAGAGAGCCAAGCACTGCGGTTTTACTCCTCTGCACATGGGTATGCGTGTCCGTGTGCCCTCACTAGCTGGGTGGCATAAGCTACTGTTCAACGCTCGGAGGATCTGGATGGCTTTAAATCTTTCCTAAGGTCCTCACGCGCAGCAAAGAGCAGGAAGAAATCGTCGAAGTTCCCACACTGGTCTTGGTTCATTCATGCAGCAGGCTCCGTGAAGCACGGCTTTAGAGCCTCCGGGGATCTTGTGGAGGGGCCAGGAGCTGGGCGGAGATTTTGGGCACCCGATCTTAGTGCCGGCCCCCCAAATCCGTGTTTACAGGATACTTCGGGTTTGCGAGTTCAAATGCACAGCAAAAATTGAGGGTATTTGAGGAGAGACCTTGTCATGCTTCTGTCTTCTGAATTGCTTGTGTGTGGTGTGTGTGTGTGTTAGAATTGCCTTCCCCTGGAGACGATCCCAAGCCAGGCCCTTTTGGAAGCATTGCAAGTTTAGTATAGAGCCGGTTAAGAATTCTGCTTCCACTGGTGCCATCCTAAAGGTATTCTAGATCTTCTTGTCTCCCCAAGCCACCAACTCCAGCCCATGGACACACGTACATACCAGAGATGTAAAATTTCCAGAAATTTGGAAGCCATAGGGTGGAACCACAATCCCAGTTTTTGTAGTGTTTGGCATCTGGCATTAAAAATATAAATGTCTTGGATTTCTGCAAGTGATGTTGCAAGTACACCCAATACTCGAGTGTCACAAACAGCTGCTCCCTAAACTGCCTTCACAAATGCAACTTAAGTACATATTAAAGTGCAAAATAGAAATGGAAAGGGGGAAAAAAACCTTAATTCTGTAGGGAACAAAAGAAAATGGGCAGTGTCTGGATTTGTTTACTTCATTTAGAGTTTGCCCTTTTCATAGCGACTCAAGGGTACACAACATAAAACTCAAACAATAATAAACAGTGCTGTGGGATTATAGAACTATGAACCAATTCAAACAAAAAGTTAAAATTTATGACATTAGAAACACTGGACCCTCTTTTACAGAGTAATATCATTAAACATAGCATATTAATTGTTGCCAACATTTATAGTAGACAAAAAACCCATTCTTATGTTTGTGTTTATGGTTTATGGTGAGCTGCTGTGGCTCAAATGGTTAAGACGCTGAACAGGCTGTGGAAGGTCAGTAGTTCAGCAGTTTGAGACCCCGGTGCCGCATGACGGAGTGAGCTCCCATCTCTAGTTCCAGCTCCTGCCAACCTAGCAGTTCGAAATCAAGAAATTGCAAGTAGATAAATAGGTACCACTTCGGTGGGAAGGTTCCGTGCACCTTGGTATTTAGTCACGCCGGCCACATGACCAAGGAAATGTCTTCGGACAGCGCTGGCTCTTCAGCTTTGAAACGGAGATGAGCACCGCAACCCTAGAGTCGGACTCGACTGGCTTTTGAGCAAGGGAACCTTTACCTTTTATGGTGTACATTGGAATCACTGTCTTGTAGATTGTTTTACATAATTTTTTTCCATAGTAGAGTTTTAATATAATGTTAAAAACAGCTAGCTCATTTCACGAGAAAATACTTCATTAGGCTATTAGGCTTTCCCCCTGTGTTTCCAAATGTTCCAGGTTTTTTCTTTTTTCTTTGGAAGAGAAAAGGTCTAGGGCAGGAGGAACCCCCCCCCCCCCCTTTGACATTTCTAGCAGGTACCAGTGTAACTTAACGTTGATTTCATAATATAAATGTGGCTTGAATTTGAATGAGATGAACATTGATCTTAGAAAGTTTTGGTGAATCGATCAAGGTCACTGAAGAGTGCCTGGGTGACAACGGGAACGTTCTGAAATGGAGGCCCAAGGGTTGGATCCCCTAAACCTTTTCCATTAAAGAAAGAGGGGAGTCTCCCTTTATGGATTGCACTTGGCAGCAAGGAGCCATAAATCCAGCCAATTTTGAAGGGATCACGGCCTTTTAACTGCCAAGATCTCATATTTTTCTTAGAAAAACGTGTTAGTATAACTTGTCGAGAAGCACAGAATATTTAAATGCTTTTGAAAAAGTGTGCTCCCAGCTAAAAAGTTTGTCATATAGGTATCTAAGCTTGGGTTCCCCCCCCCCATTCAGAGCAGTGTGTCCTAGGCATTTTTATATTGCTTTGGCTTTAGAGTAATGGAAAAAGCCAATTTTTAGGGGAGAGTAAAGCTGACTTCAGAGTGGGACATGGGTCTGGGGTTGGTGGCTTCCCATTTAGTATCACTTGGCATACTGGATGTTTAGCTTGAGGAAGCAGAAGGTGTGTGTGTGTGTGGGCATTGTCTATGGCTGGTTGTGTGTACGTATTGGGGCAAGAGGACAGTTTTAAACCCCATGCCACCGGCTTTCCCTTCTCTGACCATTTTCTTTCTCCCCCCTGCCACCAGGACGTCTGCACTCCAGCTGCCTGCGTGAGCCATGGCCAGCAACGTCACCAACAAAACAGACCCCCGCTCCCTGAACTCTCGCGTCTTCATTGGCAACCTCAACACACTGGTGGTGAAGAAGTCCGACGTGGAGGTCATCTTCTCCAAGTACGGCAAGATCGTTGGCTGCTCTGTGCACAAGGGCTTTGCCTTCGTGCAGTACGTGAACGAGCGCAATGCTCGCGCGGCTGTGGCCGGAGAAGACGGCCGGATGATTGCAGGCCAGGTCCTAGGTAAGCTCGGCGACTCTCTGTCTCCCGTGGTTCTTAGGCCTGGCGGCTGGGGATGAGCGTCTGCCTCGGTGAACGCCAGCTCCATTTCCCTGTTGCCGTGTTACTCTTTGCTGGGAGGCAGTTTTTGGCAGAGCAGGAGCAATGCTCCCTCTAAGCTGTGGAGTCTTGTGAGCAAAAAATCTACTTTGTGAGCTGCCGGCATTAAAGTCAGGAGCGAGTGATTTGGCTACTGCACAAATTAGTTTTCTCTGGAGCCATCCTTCCTGAGCTAACAGAAAAATGTGTGAGCTGGAGGCTAAAAAACTACTGTGTGCGAGCTCACGCTAACTCATCTTAGAGGGAAAACTGAGCAGGAGGAAGGTGAAGGTTGGAATAGAAAGGTGGGAGGGGAGCACACGTTACGGTTTGCAGAGAGACATCAACTGGTCTGCTTCAACTGAGCAATGTGGTGCCATTCACTGCATGGAGGGGTGTTTTTGCATCCCCCCCCCCTTTTATGCACAGTCGGTATTAACCACTAATTCCTTCTTTGCTCACTTCTTTGCTCAGCTCTTTGGGGCATGCTAGATTGGGAGAGTGGACTGAGAGTGTAATCTGTTAGCCACATTGCCTTATTTCATTAATAAATGTGGGGGGGGTTATGAATATTAAATGGCAGTAGGCTTAACTAAAGTGGTGCAGTAACCTGTGTATACCAGAGTCCAGTTTATCCAGATCCCCAGAAATAGACCAGGCGACTAGATCTTGAATATGTTGTCTTCTACTAAATAATTCACACACACACATTCAGTTGAACTAAAGCAATCGCACACTCAAGCAATACAGAACTAGGAAACTAGATAGAAGAGTACAGCGACGGTTGCATGAGCAGGAAGTATCGTTGGTGGGGCGATACTTTACCCGTCCGACGCGACGAGGTGATCCTGCAGCGAAAAATGGGCAAAGTAGTAGGGAAGGGGGTCATGTGTATTGACCAGCAGCGACTTGGTCTTGCCGTTTAAAATCCAGCTCTCTGGCGGCCACTCTTTTCTCCCTTGTGAACTAGTCTTTTGGACAGGAGAGGCCAGAAGATGGGAAAGTTGACCATTGCAGTGGCAACCGTTGAGGCAGCCGGTTCACCCCTTTGCCTAGACGAGGAGGGAAAGGATGAGCAGAAGTGACCCCCCCCCCCCCCCGCCTCTAGCCCCACTGGGGGACCTCCTGTTGGCGCCTGGTCTTTTTGGCCACTGTGTGACAGAGAATTTTGGACTAGATGGGCCATTGGCCTGATCCAACACTGGCTCCTCTTATGTTCTGACTTTGTTTTCTGTTGTCCTTGGGAGGCCCTAGAGACTGCAAGAGGCCTGTTGTGAAGCCACGGCTCCAGCCCCCCTTTCCTCCAAAAGTCTGGAGGTGCCGGGGAGTATTCCCAGCTCCTCTGAGGCTCAGGGCGCTTGGGAGGTTTGGGACAGGCTGGAGTCTGGGCTCTTGGGTGCGTGCAGTCTGGCCTGCCGGTTCAGAAAGGCCCACCCCCCTCCAAAAAACCCCTATTTTCTTGTGTATACTTCCGCTAGTTGCTTTTGGCCCCTCTAAGAGAAAATAATCAGCACTTCAAACAAACAGAAAAAAACCCCACAAAGAAGTAACCGCTGCTCTGCTGGATATCTCGATTGGGATTCCCTGTTCTGCGGACGTCCGCGTGAGCAGCCTTTACAGTATTCTTCCCGCACTGGAAAGGAAGGGTCTCCCTTGCTTATCGTAAAGAGCATACGTTTTTTCCTCCCACCAAAACAGCCTCTCTGCTGTGGGAGCGGGTCTGTTCGTTATCCCCTGGCCTCACCGGTTTCAGCCTCTTGAGACAAGGTGAACGTTTGTGCAGCGATGAGAGCTGAGCGGAGGGGTTTCTACCCAGCCGTCGGAAGCTGAGCGTCTTAGTATTTGTACGTTTTGGAGCACGGATGGGTTGTTGACTGCTGTGTTCGTACAGAAGCTTCCTGCTTTGGCAAGAACTGTATTTCACGCCACTGTGCCCTTGGCGGTGTGTCTGTCCATCGCCGTTCTTTCCATTTCCGTCCTCCCAGCAGCCCTGTAGAATGGTGGCCTCGGTCGTGTCCAATGTTCCCTCTAAGCTGTGGAGTCTTGTGAGCAAAAATCCTACTTTGTGAGCTACTGGCATTAAAGTTGTGAGCGAGCAATTTGGCTGCTGTATCAATTAGTTTGCTCCGGAGCCATCCTTCCTGAGCTAAGACAAAAATGTGTGAGCCGGAGGCTAAAAAACTGTGAGCTAGCTCACACTAACTCAGCTTAGAGGGAGCACTGGTCATGTCCGGTCCACGGTCACCCAGGGAGCTTCAGGGGGGTCAGCACCAAAGCCATCCCCAGTGTTAGTGGCTGCGGATTAGATGTGTGGCGGGGGCCCTCTTCGAGTCTTTCTCCGTCTGTACGTAGAACAGGCTCTCGGGTGGCCCTCCCCCAACTGCGCGCCGTCCTAGGCAATCGGCCGATCTATTCTATCCTATCCCCCGGGGAGCCCGGTTTCCCAGCAGGCGCGCCCTTTGTCTTTCAGATATTAACCTGGCCGCGGAGCCGAAGTTGAACCGGGGCAAAGCCGGGGTGAAGAGATCGGCCACAGAGATGTACGGGTCAGTAGCAGCACCACCTTCTCCGTCCCCTCTAGTCAGGTCGGGACCCTTTTGTTTTCATTATTTTAACCTCTTGTTTTTATTTGATCTTGTGCCCTGCAGCGGGCAGCCTCCGCCACCTGCCTTGCTTGTAAGGAACTGAGGCGAAATGTGCGTGCATGCCGGCAACTGTTGATGTGAGGGGGATTAAGGTGTGACAAAAATGGGCTTTTCAGGACACCCGGTGACGCAGCTCCACTTGGTCGGATGCAGGAACTAGGTGGCTCTGATACGGGGAGGGGGCGGGCTTTGGGATGGGCTTGGTCCTTCTGGGTTGCCGTAGCACTCACTCGGTGCCCTGAACTGTGTCTAGCCTTGTATATGCCAAGCTGGGGTGTGTGTGGGTGTGTGTGTTCCTGAGATGGGCGGCCAAAGAGTAGCCTCTCGCCTCCCTCCTCATGATCAGGATTCCTTTCCCTGACGGCCTTCCTGAAACCTGACCGGGCTCCCCGTGCTTTGTCTTTTCAGGTCCTCTTTCGACCTGGATTACGACTTCCAACGTGAATACTACGACAGGTACATGACCTGGGCGTCCAAGTCACACGTTAGGCATTTAGCGCCTTTCCAGGGGAGGTGTTACCGGGGAGGGGACATTGGCCCAGCGGTAGAGCATCTTCGCGTGCAGGAGGTCTAAGGTTCAATCCCCGGGCCCTCCAGTCCAAAGGACCAGGCGGTGCGTGATGTGAACGAGCTCTGCCCGAGACCCTGCAGAGCCGCTGCCAGTCTGAGTGGGCGGGACTGACGTCGATGGGCTGAGGCTCTGATTCAGGATCAGGCCGCTTCATGTGTCCGGCCTGTGGGTCTGATGAAAAGGTGAAGGTTGACGAGGGTTCAGAAAGAATGACAGGACACAGGTCTGCAGAAAGCTGTCCTGACTGACTGAAGTGTTCGCACTTCACAGCTGTATTTATTGAAAACCTCCTCACTCCTTCCCCCTCCTTTACACCAACCGTTACATAGTCATTGTTAACACGAGCTACCACATTAAGGAATTTGTTATGCCAGCATCACGATTCCCTTATCTTCCCGGGCTCTCTGCCAAGTGGCTCCATTCACAGGAAGTCAGGAGATGCTACTCGTGCTCTCCGCACACACGTACTTTTGGGTTCCCAGTTTCCAGCCAGGAGAACAGTAAATTATCCGGGCTTGCCACGCAGATATTTTCACCGTTCCCACAAAAAGGTGACCAGCAGCATTCGCCAGTCCTGCTCCTCTTCCAAAGTATCCCCGAACCAGCCAAGGGATGCTGCGGGCTTTGGTGATTCAGCTTGCCGGGGGTCTCAGCAGCTGTAATCTGGGGGCGTCAATCCACCCCATTGAGCTGCTGCCCTTTCTGTGTTCCCGTGGAAGGAACACGGAAGCATTTGTCTTTGAACGTTATGAAGGGGAGGGGGAGCTCAAGAAGGAAGCGTGGTGGGGACGTTTCAGTTCTCCGTTTGGGAAGGGGAAGTCAGAGACTGGGAAATCCCTCGGGACCCCTTCCGGTGAGGGCTGTGCCTCTTAAGGAAGAAGGAGAGAATCACAGCAATAAGCTGCCCCAGAAATTATGCCCTGAAAACTTACTAAATTATAAACGCATATCTTCTTGTAATTAGTAAATGCAAGTTACACAACAGTTTTGGTGCGTATTGATGATCAGTACTTACGTAATACGAAGACTTGAAAGTTCCAGAGCAAAGTTTGTGAAGACATTCGAACCAATATCTGGCAACAAGTCATAGTAAAGTGCAAAAAAAGTGCTATTTCGGCGTTTTCAGTTCAAGCGTCCTGTTTTCAGAGGAAATGTAGAAATTCCATTTGAATTTAGCTGGATTCGCATGGAATGTCTAAGTTTTCTCTTAAAACCGGACACTCGAATTGAATATTGAAATAGCACTTCTTTCACTCTACTATGATTGGTTGCCAGATATTTGTTCGAATGTCTTTACAAATCTCTCTCTTCCAGTCCCAGTGTTGCACAAGTATTAATAATCAATACACGCCAAAATAGTTGTGCAACTTTGCCTTTATAAATTACAACAAGATATGAGTTTAAGTTTTCACAGCATAATTTTTTTGGAGGGACGTGCTTCTGACCGGGCGTCCAAAGCTGCTTTCCTGAGCAAGCCCAGAGAGGGAGTCCCTTAGCGACGGCCGTGAACCAGTAAGCATTGCAGAAACCTTGGGATAAAAGGTGGTGTGTGGTTTGTCGCGACCTGCGAGGAGGCAGCTGTTTTGTACGACAGCCGCTCGGGAACCTGTTCTCTGACAAGGGGTTGTCTTGTGCCGCTAGGATGTACAGTTACCAGGCCCGGGTTCCACCTCCACCTCCCATTGCCAGGGCAGTGGTCCCCTCCAAACGCCAGCGGGTCTCTGGCAATACCTCCCGCCGGGGCAAGAGCGGATTCAACTCCAAGAGCGGGCAGCGGGGATCGTCCTCCAAGTCTGGAAAGTGTACGTGTTGACCCTTCTTGCAGGTGTTGTGTGTATGTGTGTGTGGAACGGGGGGGGGGGCTTCTTTGTAACACCGCTTGTTCAAGAAACGTGGCAGTCGTGGGGTGTGGGTGGGGGAGAATGTCTGGAAGGCGAGGTGGTGAGAAGGGAGTTGATTGGCCTCCCAAGAGCTGGGCCCTGCTGTCTCAGTCTGTTCCTTCCTAGATCAGGAATCTGGGAAACGGGGAAAGCTTTTAGCTCTATGATTCTATGGAGGTGGTGAGCTCCCCTTCACTGATAGAGGCCGAACGAATATTTGTCAGAGATGCTTTCGGCTGGTCCCGCATTGGGGCAGGGAGTTGGACTTAGACTGTCTGTATGAGAATCACAGCAATTAGACTTCCAACTCTCTGATTCTAGCTCAAAGCTGCCTCCGCTCGCCATCACACCTTCCTTCTGCCCGTTGGCTCAGTTTCTCCTTTTTAGAAGCGGAGGCAGGGGAGAGGGGCGAATCTGCCCGGAAGGTCCCTGGGCTCTCTGGAGTTCACAGGCTTCCTTCCTCCTTGCAGTGAAAGGAGATGACCTGCAGACCATCAAGAAGGAGCTGACCCAGATCAAGCAGAAAGTGGATTCCCTGCTGGAGAGCCTGGAGAAAATCGAGAAGGATCAAAGTAAAGGAAGGGGGTGTGGGAAGGGGGGCGAGCCCTTAACGACCCCCCCCCCCCCCGAGAATCCCCGCTTGACCCCAGGGGCCCCCGTCGGCTAAAGTCCGGCAAACTGGCTCTTTCCACTTAGGCCTGCCCTTAACAGAATCAGTTGTTTCGTGAGCCTAGGAATGCGTGAAGGGCTTGGCGATAGGTGGGTTGGGGTACAGAATATTCTATTTGGGTTTCTGTGCCAAGTCTCCGGGTTGCTGCTGTGAAAAGTATCCAGTGAGTAAAATCCCAGCTTAAAACCCGCCCTGGCTGCGTACAGCAGCAGCCGGACGACCAGTCAGAGAAGGGTTGTCGCCTCATTCCCGCCTTGCTTGCCTGGAAGACTTAACTGTGCTTGGGCAGGGGAAGCAGGCCGAAATCCTTGCCCACAACCAGAGCTTTGCGGAACAGCCTCACAGTTAAGCCTGTGGAAGTCCCAAGCCTGCAGTACTATCAGGCAGGCGACGAGGAGTGCTCACACAACTCGGCAGCCCTGTAGGACTAGAATCCCTTTCCGGGTCGAAACAAAAGCCTTTTCCTGCTTTGTTCCCCCGAGGCAATGCTTGCTGCTACCCAAGAGCGAGGGGTTGCCCCGATTTCGGAAGTTGTGTGGCTAGTTGTTTCCAGATGAGAGCCAGTGCTCCCTCTAAGCTTTGCTGACAGCAAAAAAAATGCCACTTTCTGAGCTACCGCCATTAAAGTGGTGAGCAGGCGATTTGGCTACGGCATCAGTCCGTTTGCTCTGGAGCCCTCCGTCCTGAGCGAAGACAGAACTGTGTGAGCCGGCGGCTAAAAAACTGTGAGCTAGCTCACACTCACTCAGTTTAGAGGGAGCACTGGATATGACCGGCCAGTCATCTGCTGGAGCATCTCGGTTTTTCCACGGTGGTCGAGCAGGGCCACAGAGGCCGAAGCCTCCCCCCATCCTTGCCCCCCGGCAATCGATGTTCTCTGAGCTAGTTGCTGTAGACGCGGAGGTTCCATGTCGCCGCCGTGGCCGACTCCTCCCTGAACACGCCCCGTCCCGTCTCTGCGATCGACAGCCAGCCCTTGGATCGTACCACCGTTAAGCGGGTGGGAATCCCTTCTCGGGTGCCTCGCCCGTCCACAGCTCCCCGCGACCCTTCCTTCCTCTCTGCCTCCGGACCCCACCTGTGCCTTTCCTCCCCTCTCCTAGAACTGAAGAACGACAAGTCGGAGGAGGAGCAGAGCACCATCTCGCTAAAGAAAGAAGAGAGCAACGTCAGGATGGAGTCTGAGGCCGGAGCGGACGACTCGGCTGAGGAAGGGGACCTGCTGGACGATGACGACAACGAAGACCGGGGGGATGACCAGGTACAAAGCTCGCGGAGGAAGCGAGCCTGGAGCGAGGAGTCCGGCTCTCCCCGCCAGCTAACCAGCCCCGTCTGCCTGTCCCCTTCTCTCTCTCAGCTGGAGTCCATCAAGGGGGACGACAAGGAGCCGGAAGAGGAAGGCGAAGACGACAGAGACAGCGCCAATGGCGAAGACGACTCCTAAGAGCCCGGCCACACCGCTCCTCCTCCGCCTCCGCCGCCCCCGGCGAACACAACGTTCTTCTGATATTGAGCCTCTTCACCAGCCCCCCTTGCTGGCGGCCTCCTCACTGCTCTCCTCCCCGCCCACCAGCCCCTCGGCCCCGCGTGTTCATGATGATGCTTTCTGTGACCACCCCCCACCCCCCCCCCCCCCGAAATCTCCCCGGTAGTTCTGTTCAAATCCCATGTAATTCTCCTGTTTTAATTTTGATACCTCTTTATTGACTTAACAATTAAAAAAGGACGTATTGTTTTTAGATGACTTCTCTGTCGTGTGTTTGCAACGGGCGGGGCGGTCTCCAGCCAAGAAGGCTGACCTATTGTCCACGCAGGGTGTACGTAGCCAGATCCTGTTCACGGTTCTCAGATGCAACTTCCCATTTAGTTGGATTTGCCGGCCTCCCGCTCTGCGACATCTGCAGAGAGAGGCCACAGGAAGCTGAGCAGTCCCGATTTCGGGATGTGGTGCGGTTTCTTAAAGAGTTAGTCGGGTCGCTGACTTGAAGCAGCCGCTCGATGCATTGAGAGGATGAGATCTGCAGCTGACAGAAGTCAGGCTGGGAAGAGGGCGACAGAACTGGTTCTGTTGTGTTTCCCACGGGGAAAGTGGAAGGATTTCAGTCTGACTATTAAATCCACCAGGACGAAAGTCAAAAACTGGTGGTTTCCGCTCCTGGCAGCTTGCCCGATGCTCAAAGTTTTATTTATTCCATTAAATTTCCAAACTGCCCTCCCATGTGAAATAGGGCTCAGGGCGGTGTGCAACAATAAGACACATTCATCTATTAAATTCAGTTAAAACAATAAAAATATAATGAAAAAAACAGGAAAATACAGTACTTACCCTAATTAATTACCACCAAATAATTAATTACCACCCAATGAGAAGGGAGCACTCACTGGAGAAGACCCTGATGCTGGGAAAGATTGAAGGTCAAAGAAGACGGGGACGGCAAAGGATGAGATGGCTGGACAGTGTTATTGATGCAACAGACATGAAATTGAGCCAACTTCAGAGGACGGCGGAAGACAGGAAGGCCTGGCGTGATCTTGTCCATGGGGTCGCGAAGAGTCGGACTCGACTGTGCAACTGAACAACAACAAACCCTAATTAAATGCTGCTAAAAAGCTTCTAGTTGTGCCACAGCCTTGCGGGGGAGGAAGGGGGGGGACAGGTGTGCCAGACAGATGGGAACCATCGCTGTCCTCAAACAAATGGCCTGGCGGAACATCTCTACCTTACAGCCCCTGCAGACGTGCATTAAGTCCCACAGGGCATGAGTGTTTTTCGGCAGAGAGTTCCGCCAGGTCGGGGCCAGGACAGAAAAAGCCCTGGCTCTGGTCAGGGACGCTTGAGTATCTGCTTGAGGGGGGGTTTCCCAGGAGAGGTGGTCCCAGAGATACGTGGGACCTGTTAAGGACGTAAAAGGTTAATCCCGAGGCAAGAAATGAGCAGAGGTAGCTCACCTCATTGCCTTCGTCTGCATAGCAGCCCCAGTCTTTCCTTGGTGACCTCCTGAGCTCGGGGGAGATCAGGCTTGTCTGGGGTAGGAGGGCTCCTGTAAGTGTCTGCGCTGGGCCCAGTACTTAAAAAGTTCTAGCAAATACAGTGTTCCTGGCGTGGTGCCTGTTGACACTTCCTGGTGCCCACCAAGTGTGTTTAGAAAGTGGGCGGGGCCTCTGCGCAGCAGGCACTCTCATTGGACACTGGAGATCTGATTCCGCGTGAAGACTGAGACTGCTTTGGCGGCGGCAGCCCCTGCACCTTTGGCTTTATTCTTTATTCCTGCTTCCCAGCGTGTGTTTTTTAAAAATGCCTCCTCTTGTCCCGCACTTTGGTGTTTGTGTGGGGCCCCACCTCCCACAGAGGCCATGTCGGTTGCACCCACCACCCTATGTCGGCAGTCCAAAGGTGCCCATAGGCTCAAAAAAAATTGGACACCCCAGGTCTGTGGAAACACATCCTGTCTAGAGATGTAAAATTTCCGGAAATTTTGAAGCTCGGGGGAAAAAACCCGTTTTCCCCCCCAAAAAAACTCAGACATTTTTGGAAAAATTGAAAAAAAAAAGCTATATTAGCATTTATTTTGTCTTTTCTAGATTGAAAGTCATTCTGTTACTTGAGGAACATAAAATATGACGATGGACATTTTTACTTGGCATGAAATTATCACAACTAGCATATTAAAAATATATAATGCATCCAAACAATTATTACAAACAGAATACCCACCCACATGCAAAAACAAAACTGAAACTTTATTTTCTTGTGACAATCGCACCTCCTAAAGGAAGAAATGCATCTTGTTCTTGCATTGGAGAGTTCAGTTTGTAACCCAGGACTTGCTTGTCCTCAATGCACAGAAATTAGATCAATCGGATACCATATATATATATATTTTAGAAATGATTTGGAAAATATTTGAACACCTTGTCTTAAAACATTTTATTCATGTTAAAATAAAACGTTCCATAATCAATTTTTTTTCTTTTCTTTTTTCAATTTTTCCAATTTTTCGGAAAAAAACAATAAGGCTTCAGGAAAAAGGGTTTTTTCCCCGATTTTTTCCGGGCTTTCACATCTCTAATCCTGTCTCTTACCCCTTGGGTGTGCTTCCTTGCACTTGGGGATAAAAGGCATGGCTTCAGCAATTGGGGCTGGAATGGTGTGGGGTAGGTAGGAAACCTCTTTTCAGATGGGCAAGAAATGTTTGGGGGTGGAGGACTCCTTTGCAGCTTGTGGGGGGGAAGAACGCAAATGACCGGCCCTGCCTTACCACATTCCCTCTTCTGTCTCCATCGCTCTTGCTACCTTACAGGACATGGACAAGGATAACTCACACCTAGAGATGTAAAATTTCTTGAAATTTTGAAGCTTGGAAAAAAACAGTTTTTTTCGGGGGGAAATGGAAATTTTCAGAAAAATTGAAAAAAATGCTACATTAGCACTTCTTTTTTCTTTTCCAGATTGAAAGTCATTCTGTTACTTTAGGAACATAAAATATGACTATGGACATTTTTACCTGGCATGAAATTATCACAACTAGCATATTAAAAATGTAGTGTATCCAAACAATTATTACAAACAGGAATACCCACCCACATGCAAAAACAAAACTGAAACCTTTTTCTTTTCTTGTGACAATAGCACCTACTAAAGGAAGAAATGCATCTTGCTCTTGCATTGGAGAGTTCAGTTTGTAACCTAGGACTTGCTTGTCCTCAGTGCACAGAAATCAGATCAATCTAATACCATACATATGTTTTAGAAATTTGGAAAATATTTGAACACCTTGTCTTAAAATATTTTATTCATCATGTTAAAATAAAACGTCCCATAATCTTTTTTTATCTTTTTTCAATTTTTCGGAAAAAGAGGCTTCAGGAAAAAAAACGGGGGGAAACCTGCATAGATCCAGGTTTGCCGTTCCTTGCACAAACACCCATGTCAGTCTGAGCACATGTTGGGGGGGGGGTTTAGATAGGCCAAGGGCCACCCACTTCACACTCCTGTCCAATCGCCTGCCGGCTCTAGGAAATCGATAAGCCGGGCTGTACAGAGGCAGGAGTCCGGTCACAGTTTGTCTCCAAACAATACAGGGAGTTCATACACCGTCGAAAGTGCAACCGATATTAACAATACTGTGTTCAAAAATACCAAATAGATATTGTTCAATGGTTCGCCCATGTGAGAAAAAGCTCTGAGAGAACTTGTGACTGACCCAAGGTCACATCAGCAGCTGCATGTGGAGGAGTGGGCAATCAAACTAAGCATGACACCAAATTGGCAGGCAGTTTACCACCGTGGAGAGCAGCCCGTTATGTGTGTGTACAGAACTGCCACGCTTACGCTTCTCTAAATAATAAAGACAAATGGTATACCGTGCAAAATGTTTCAGGTTTATTAGAGAGAGATTTACATGTAGAACATATGGACTACTCTCACAAGTAACAGGCAACACACATTTTCAAACTGTTCAGCTCTGCAGTTTAACAAGACGCGGTATAAGAGGTACTAGGCAGGCTAAATTGGGTTAGACCCCATGAAAGAGATTTCATACTAAACCAAGAGCTATTGGGACAGAAAACCTTAGTTGTTCTTCCACTCAGCAAGTGTGTAACTATAGTGTTGGACCGAAGCGACCGAGGTTCAAATCCCTACTGGCATTCTCAGACTCACTTGCTTCCCAGGAGGGTGGTTGTAGTCCAGTAGCCCCTTTGTGCAGCTTGAAATCTCTTTGGCATCAGACACCTGAATCAAGCCTGCATCATCACACATTCTCCATTCCTCCAGTTTGATTTTACAAATCTCAGTGAGTCAAGCAGAATATGAATAAATTAAAATACATTTCCCGTGTGCAGAGCTCAGGGAGACAAGCTGACCATAAATGAACCAGTACCTCTAAATAGTTCAGTGAGACAAATGGACCACAAATGCCAAATAATGATTAAAACCAACCATAGATTCTTTAAACTTGGAATCTGCCAAAGTGGGGGTGTCAAACATGCGGCCCAGGGGCCGGAGCAGGCCCCTGGAGGGCTTCTATCAGGCCCGCAGTGGAACTGGCTGTCTTCTGCTGCTTCTTCCAGTTCTGCTGCTGCTGCATCATGGTAGGTTTGCAGCTTACAGATACACACCTGAACAGCGTACTCAAGATTGCAACAGCACAGACATTTTGATGCAATAATTCAGAGCAAGGGGTGTCAGTTATCAGACATTGTTAAATAAACAAAACATTGCACGAGTGCTAATGTTTTAAGCATGATTTTATTTTAAGTAAAAGAAAACCCTTTGTGTTTGTGTCCTTTATAAAGTTTATATCTCCGCTACCTGGCATTACACTTTATGACACGCATGGCCCGGCCCAACAAGGTCTCATTTATGTAAGATCTGGCCCTCATAACAAATTAGTTCGACAGCCCTGTGCTAAAGCATGGTAACCATTAGAGAACTGGGTTACCATTCTACCCTTTTCAGCCTACTGAATTAAAGTAGAAGTCAACATGATTGGGCACGAAATTTGTCTATGGATGCGTCCGTACTGATGTTGTGAGTGATTTCTCATAACCTAGCAACACTAGACTGTTTTTCCGAAGATGGGAGATGGACA